GTCAAAATCGAGTAATTCAATAAAATTATGGTGTAAACCAGAAATTCTCCAATGATCTCATACCTAGAAAGGCATAATTTGACTGTGTTCATAAATTTACTCAGTGAACAATATATTGCTTTGATAAACAGTTTGCAAAAAGCTTTGCTACTTGTTTTTTTTCTTGTCATTTTTCAAGGCACAATTTTAGCTCTGTCCCTAATCTGATTCCTGTTATATACACATATGTATCTTGTTTGTAATAAGTCATGTTTTAAATCCAGTTCTTCTACTGTCTTAAGTATCACAGACTAAAATTCAGTTGCTATTGACTTGTGACCTAGTATTTAGGGTAGATTAGGTTATTTGCATAGATTGTTTAGGATCAATGAGAAGTAGCCATTCAGTTCAGCTTGACATTGTGGATATTTGTTGAAATAAAGCCTTTAGAAGTTTGTTTTATGAATGTTTTGCAACAGCATTTTCAGAAGGAGTTGGTAGATGTTTAAATTCAAATCGATGTTTTGATGTCATACTATTTAAAACTAAAATACTTTAAAAATTAAACTTTTTTTGGTACAGTGAATGAATTTTAATTCAGAACCTTTTTCAAGACAATCCATACATCAAAAAGGAAGTTCATAAATATTCATTACTAATATTGTCGGAAGTCAATATAATAAATCTGCTGCTCCATAAACAATTTGTGATACTTAAATGTTTTGAAGCTTGGCTGCTTGCCCTTAAGTTCAGCAAACCTCAGAGACAAATTCAAGGGAAGATAGTTTAGAAACCTTTAGTGATGACACACCTTCAGAGATTACTATCCTGCAAATTCATTGCAGATCTTGTTGTTCCTTTTTAATGGGCAGTAGATTCGATCATATGGCTGTTCTCGGATTCAATATTTGTATATGTGTGAAAGATCTGTATGTTGTTTGTAATCTGCAGTCTACTAACCAGTAGACTACTTAAGGTATTGTGGTACTACATAAGGCCATGCTCCTCTGGCTGAAAAACATTTATAACCAGGGGAAGGTGGTATACCTTCCTTCTGCAATTTGAGCACCTGCTACTCCCAGGAGTAACAAATAGAACATCTAGAAAAATATCTTTATGGCTTCTGTATAAACTTAACAAGGAAAAATCAACTGTAATTATGTGGAGATTTCATTCTAAAAGTTCTGATAGGTAATTATTTTACAAGGAATTATTTTTAATTTTAATAAATGATTTGTGGGTAATAAATGATAACACCTGAACATTTTCCAATACTTTATTATAATAATAAAAGGAGCTCCATGCTAAAAATAAAACAACACTAGCAATTTTAGGGGAATCCTGTGAGTATTAGAAGTAGCAATTTGCTACACAATGGAGTAGCTAAGGATGAACTTGAACAAGTAACTTGAGATCTCACTGCCTGTAGGTCACAGAATGCAGTTCAGTCAATGGTTGTGTTTTGTCTAGTCTGTAAATGCCATCTCAACGTTAATTGTGTTGTAATTACCTTTCACATTTTCTTTACTCCATCTTTGCATATCAAAACCTGAAGAGTCTTTGGGGATTGCTTTTTACTTGTGGTCAAAATTTAACATTCCACTAGCAAAACAATATAAAACCAGAATGTTCTGTTTTACTAGTCTTTATCATTAGATGAAAACTGAAAAATAGCTGGTCATGACTGCAAAAAATAATGAATGTTCATGGTGAAGAAAATCTAATATCTTTGGCAGTACCTTTGTGAAAGATGCACAATTCTATGTTCTGTAGGAGCTGAGGTTTGATGAATCATACCTCTACACTGAACTAGGCCATTTTCTCTGGACTGAATTAAATTCGTTGCTTTGTTATGGTGTATTGTGATGCTAGCCTCTTTGGAAAAGTAGGCTAATTCATAATGAAGAACAGGTATCTGAACTACAAAAAGCTATCACAACTCAAGAAGCAATGATTTACATTAACAGAACACAATTAAAATATTTTAGTTTGTATTTCAAATGTTATTTACTTTAGGAGGCAAACAAGTAACAAAAGAACAAAAAAAGCCAACTTCAGATGAGCATCTTTCATCATCAGTTGGAATTAGATTGATGCAGAAGAAATATTCCTAGCCTTTCTTTGAGAAGCTTTAACTTTCTCTCTACTTTGTAAAACACTGGAGAAGTCAAGTGTTTTAAAATATTTCTAGGTAGAGTGATGATTTTCTGTGGAGGAGTGGCTGAGTGAGAATGGGCACAACTTAGTCCCATTTGACAGCCCATGCTCTGCAGAAGAGATGGAGAAGCCCCTCCGCATGGACAGATGATCTGTCCCAATCATGGTAGTGATAGAGGCGTGTGTATAGCGGTGTTCTACCAATCACAGTGTGACTCGTGTGTCTGTTATTGTTTTCTGCCTACATATGCTTTGCTAACTGCGCAATAAATGAGAACGACCATACTCATATCGAGATTCCATCGTTACTCCGGGTCCGACTTCCCTTCCAAGAGTTTTCTCCCTAAATGGACAGGGAACAAAATGGAAGTTATAAAGGCTTAAATTTGAAGGAGTTTTACCTAGGCAGGTTATCTTTAGTTTAACTAAACCAGTTTATTCAGCTATAATTACAGACATTCAAAGAATTTTTTCAACTAGAATTGGGCTGCTGCAAGACTAAGCCCCAGGAAAACTAATTTGGTACACAGTCAGATTTTCACTGTTCCCTTAAGGTGTATGTTCTGAAGCAAGAATGGTTTTCAGGTCTGATTTCTGGGGTCCTGACCTAACGTAGTGCTTGAAAAATAAATGTGGGAATTATAATGCAATTCAGACTTAAAAACTAAACTTCCCATTGTGATTTTTTTTTCAGCCAAGAAAATAAAAACAACCAATCCTCATTTTAAAATTATCTGTGCTTTGTTTATATTGCTTTTAGATATTTTCATAGAAAGCTACTGTTATAGAAGAAGGAAACCTGTACTTTCATAGAGAAAACACGTAGAAAACTGACCACTGAAATATAATAATGACTAAACCAAAAGTGAAACACTTATCCAAAGCCAATGACACTGAAAGAAACTAAAAAAGTCCTCCTCCTCACCTTGCATTGTTAAATCATACTTAGCAATCTGAGGCTGCAGATTGCTTTATTTTTCATTGTTAAGAAGGACGGACTTTCAGAAGTGAAAGCCATGTTACACTGAATGACTAAAAGGACTGTGCAGAAGAAGCTTAACAGAAAATGAAAGGTATAGAGAATATCATGTTATTGAACAGTCCAAGAGAGAACATCTTACCTTTCTTCATGTATCAATGACCACACTTCAGTGTCTCTCTGTTGTTTAAAGTGTCACCATTAGTAAAATTGGATGAATGTACAATGAAAGACACGTTGGATACCAAGGAACTTATTCACTGACATATTAAAATATTGGTTTAAATACTCAATTAATATTTTGTGTATAGAAAATACTACTTTTTTTACTGTAGAAGTGTAAGTTGATGACATATGGCATCTAAGTGACTCTTTAGAGAAAAATTACTTTCTTTTACAGTGTTAATAGTGGTACACATAATTTTTACTTGTTTATTCATGCAATAACAATAAAAAGGTGATGCATGGCCTACTCCTTTTGGGGGAAATAAAATAGCTATATATTTTTGATAAAATGAGAATGGAATTTTAGCAGAGCTGAAAAAATGATTCAGTGCAAGTCAGGTGAAGTTCAAGGATGACAAAGTAAATCAGAGTAAGATGGTCTATCCAAACTGAACAGAAAGTAGGAGGCTTAGGAAAAATATGCCAAGGTCAGGTGAGACAACATGATAACAAACATCCTTGCAGTGACACAGTACTTATGTTAAAGTTTCTCCTCTGTTAAAGTTTCACTCTTGGTCTGCTATTTTTTCTGTCACATGTTGTATCTAAATTACAACCCAGCCTCAAGGACAGTATATTTAGGCCAAACACAAGCCTTAGATGTTTATTGCATTTGAATAACAACAAAATAATACTGATATATTGTCTGAGGATACCAGTGATCAATTCCATATGCTTGATTCTGCAACTATTGCACTCATACAACTAGTAATTTTTGTTGCAGTCTTGACATCTTGAAGACAGTTCCACTTATGTTATCAACATCTATAGGTTGTTGTACAACTCTACATCCATAATTGATCATTGGCAGTGTTGAGTCATTTGTATTTGTACTCAAAGGGGTACGTGCCATAATACAGTGGGGTTTACTCTATGTATCCTTATTCTAGTGTCATCAATAGTTCATATTAGATAACAACAGTTTCTTAATAGTTTGTATATATGTAAAAATTCTGAACTACTTATTGTTAATATCTAATGACAGCAATATTAATGGTAGTTTTCAAACTTGTTTACTTAAATTTGTTTTCTTCCACACAGGGCACAACAAACAAGAGCTGAAACAGTCATATTTTTGAAGACAAACTGACTTATTTGTCCTGGTTTCAGCTGGGATAGTTAATTTTCTTCCTAGTAGCTGGCACGGTGCTGCGTTTTGGATTTAGTACTAGAATAATGTTGCTAACACACTGATGTTTCAGTTGTTACTAAGTAGTGCTAAGACTGGCCAAGGACTTCTCAGCTCTCAGCTCTGCCACATACACAAGAAGCTGGGAGGGGGCACAGCCAGGACAGCTGACCCAAACTGGCCAAAGGATTATTCCATATCATATGATGTCATGCTCAGTATATAAGCTGGGAGAAGAAGAAGGAAGGGGGGACATAGGGCGTGATGGTGTTTGTCTTCCCAAGTCACCGTTATGCATGATGGAGCCCTGTTTTCCTGGAGATGGCTGAACACTTGCCTGCCAGTGGGAAGCAGTGAATGAATTCCTTGCTTTGCTTTGCTATGCTTTCATGCACGGCTTTTGCTTTTCCTATTAAACTGTCTTTATGTCAACACATGAGTTTTCTCACTTTTGCCCTTCTGATTCTCTCCCCCGTCCCACTGTGGGGGAGTGAGCAAGCGGCTCTGTGCTACTGAGTTGCTGGCTGGGTTAAACCACAACAGTCCTTTTTTGATGCCCAACATGGGGCTTGAAGGGTTTGAGATAATGACAGTTTTGACTGAAATGTGCTAGATTGAATTTATAGCTATTATTTCTGTTTAGCTATTAATCGGCAGGCTCCTGTGCTTGCCGTTGGGTTTGGTTGCCTTACTGTAAATCAGAGGCTCGTGCTCGTTAGTGGGTGTTTTTTTTTCCCTGCTTGCTGTACTGCTGTGCTGCTTATCACTACAGTGTGCTGTGCCTGGGAACATTTTGATAACCACCATGGCGATGTGCCTGGGCTGGCAGATGGCCAGGGCATCGCTTCTGTTTCTGTGCTACTGTACTGGACAGGCTGGAACTCCAGTGTGAACTTAAGTTGAATGAACTGTGACCTGGGGATGAGTCCGCTCAGGAGCAGGACACCCCAAAGAGGTGGTGTGGCTGTAAGTCCACACCACAGCAGGTATATCTCAAAGTGTCTGTGGCCATGGTTATGTCTGTACTACAGTAGGTATACCTTTAAAAGGATTGTGGGCCAAGGATAAGTCCACATTGGAGAAGGTACCACCTCAAAGCATCATTGGTTGTGCATGAGGTCATGAAGGAGCACCTCAGGGTGTGTGGCCATAGATAAGCTCATGACAGAGCAGGGTAAGCACGACAGCCATGGGTAATGTCATGTTGGAGCAAGTTCAGTTCTGAAGGGACTATGGCTGTAAGTAAGGCCACACTGGAGCAAGTACATCTCCGAAGACATTGTGGCCCATGGAGAAGGCCACTCTGGAACAGGTGCACCTCGAAGTGACTGCAGCTGTGGATAAGTCTATGCCACAGCAGGTATACCTCTGGAGAGACTGTGGCTTATAGATAAGGCTCCACTTGGAGTGGGTATAGCCTTAAGGGACTGCAGGCTGTGGATAAGTCCAAGCCGGAGCAGGGGCAAGAGGACGAGTTCGTCACAGTGTTAAACCCTAAGGTCTGGTCCAAAGAGACGAGGGTGGATATTGTAATGGAACTGCCTTTAAATTGTTGTAGCCTGGGATGTGAGTTGCTTGTGTGGGAATTACTGTAGCAGGAACCCCTTGTTGCCAGCCAGGTTAGGAGCAAGGGGAGGACTTCTTTGCTTTGCTTTGCTAGCATGCGTGGCTTTTGCTTTACCTATTAAACTGTCTTTATCTCAACCCACAAGTTTTCTCACTTTTACCGTTCCAAATTTCTCCCTCATCCCACTGTGGGGGGAGTGAGTGAGCGGCTGTGTCGTGCTTAGTTGCCAGCCAGGTGAAACCATGACACTATTATACATAAAAGTATCTTTAAATTCCAACTTAGTCACAGTTTTGTATAGAACTCTTAAATTTCACCATCAGCTTTACTTGGAATAAAAATGAGAGCTGTAATACATAGAGGCGATCTTAAAAATGTTTTTATTAGGCTATATTCAAAAAATAACACAGGGACTGCATGTTTAACTTTTGCTGCTGAGTAGAAACTTCAGCTGCATCTGGCACCCAAAGCTTCTATACAGTCTGTAGAAAGCTTAATAACAGTGTACAAAATTCCCCCTTACAAAAAGAAATAACTTACCCAGCCAGTAGATATGCCGCATGCTTAAGTTAAGTAGAGAAGGAATTTTCTAACTGTAGTCATGTGTCTCTGCCTTCCAGTTGACTTCAAGTGTAAGAAAAGCAGCATCATTGCAGAGTGCTTTTAAAAATACCATCCTGCTTATTTATGAGTTTGCATGAATCCTAGCAAACTGTTACTATCCACCACTGTATCTGCTGTGTATCTGCTTAACTGCACACTAGGAGGAGAAATAGAAAAAAAAAAAACCAAACCTTTTTTTTTTTATTTTCTATCAGATCAAAATGCAAACCCAGATTTCAAGGGTCAAGAGCTTACACTTACTCCTAGTGATGGAAGAAATAAGGAGATACCTAAGTTTAGTCTAATCTTTAAGTGGATCTTGGACACATATTTGCTTTTCTGCTGTATCTGTAAAGGAGTTTTGTAGAAAATAAACTCCCACTTTGGTTAGATACCTAAGCTTTAGATAGCCCAAACATTTTTTAAACTAGAAATGACAGTAAACCGAGACAGATGAGTGCCCTTACCATTAGTGTATTCATAAATATTTAATTATATAATGCAAAATCAAACAGCTTAAACACATCACAGAAAGTCTTCTCATAGTCATCAGTAAGACACATTCCTGAGAAGCAGGCGTTTGTTCAAGCATCTGTGGGCAAGGCAGTATTTTTAACCTGTCATCTACATCCCACATAATCCTATTTAGCAGAAAGGCTGTTGGGCCTAGTATTTACTCCCATTGAGGCTTTCCAAATCTCAAAGCAGCAGGCATTCAGAGAAAAAGCTTAGTACCCTGTGAGCTTGAGACAGGCATGGGGAATACTTATTTTATGACTCTCAAAGAACCTTGCATAAGAGAGAGGCAGCTAATTCTTTGGTGTCGTCAAGTCAAGCAGTCTTGGGGATTCTGCTGGCCAAAATTTAGCTGGTGATTTGTGGTTTTGAGGATGCAGACTGGAGTCATGACATCTAAATATTCCTTTATGATCATGAAGCCTATGTGCATTCTGTTTCACTCTAACTAATTTTTCAAATGTGAAATGCTTTTAAGCAGTTAGAACTACTATAATACAGACTGTAGATTTCCATTTGAATGATAGAGGTTTATTCATAAATTTATAAAAGATTCTTCCCATTTCCTCAGCTGAGAAATAAAGACAAGTGAATAATCCCACTCACTGAGTCTCATAAGTGTGCCTTGTTCAGTACCAAGCCAGCACCTGCCTGTCTGAGGAACTGGGAGCAACTCTGGTACTGTACATACAATAAACAGTGAAAGAAAACAAGTGTTACATAACTTATCCATAAATTTAACAGAGGTGAGAAATATCAGATGTAGAAAGAGGTGCTAAAAATCTGCTATTTACTTTTCCGTAAAGGCTTTGTGGCTGATATTCCTGAATGTGGAAAAATAAATTGTTTGTGAAATACTTAGCATGTCTGCCAGCCTTTGAGACCTGAAGAGCTGCCAAAGTTGCTAAAAGCATTTTTAATCTCATGAAAGTACTGACAATTTTCTTGATAGGCTAGTTTTTATTCAAGAATGCTTTACATTTGAACAACGTGACACCTCTCTGGTGGCACCATACTTCAAATTTTATTCTCTGCCATCAGTCATAAACAGTCAGTGATCTATTTGATACTGACAACTTTGCAATGCTAAAAATAATTTGATGGTCCAGGACATAAAATTTCTGTATGTCTTGGTTCACCACATAATCAGCTTCTGACTCAAAAATGGTGTAAGAAGAATTCTAAAAGGTAGCTGTAAAGCACAGATATCAGTTACACAAAAAAAACAGAGTCTGGAAGATAATTGTTATTATTAGAGGATAATGGAAGTTAATAGCTAGTTTTTGCAGGAGTCAGTTGGAGACTGGAAGTCCTAAATTAGGTCCTATTGATTCCTTGTCTTCATCAGGATTTTTCAGTAGCAGGTAGGATCAGTGGCAATTATGTCTGGGCTCAGTTCCTTCATCAGTTCTTTCCCTGCAGTCTTAATTAATGAGAGAAAGGTGAATGGCTGTAAGATTATCAATGTTCTTTTAAGTATTTCATTTACCTGCTTGTGGTATGAAGAAATTTGATACCTCAGGTTTTATGGGTACATTTCTTAGGGACCACATGACGATGAATCCTGCTGTTATTCAGGATAACATGCAACTAATTTCAATTTTTTTTAGTTTTGCTGAATGCTCTACCGCACAACAAGTAACCATTTGGTCCTTCTAAACCTCAAAGGTTTTTCTCTGCCTGAATTTTTTTCAGGTATTTTTATGTTCTCATTCTAAAGGTCTTGCTGAAATTTCTGTCCAGGTCAGGCCTCCAAAACTAATACAGCTACTGAGGTCACATGTTTTCCAGGTCTGTTTCTAACATGCCACATTCTGTGCAGGAAGCCAAGTTGCCTTTCTTCCAGCTGCTGCATACAGGCAGACTTTAGTACTGGATGAACACCTTCTGTTGTCAGTCAAATACAGCTTAAGTGTAGCAAACCAGCTTAATATTTCACTACTCATCTGACAGTGTTCCTACTGTTTTCTCACATCTATGAATCTGAAGTTTGGAAGATAACTACCCAAGCAAAGGAGTACCATACCCAATGATTAAAACTGCCAAAACGTGCAATAACATAAATATATTAAAATTACAGATTTCTCTCATGTACCAGTAGAGCTGCACCCTACATTCTACATGTCATATTATGTTAGATTCTATGCTGATAATGGCTATAGAAGGGCTTTTTTTCTGCATCATCCTCAAAGGCAGAAACATACCGTCCTTTCATGCAACAGCTGTTAGATACCCTTCTTTAAGTTCATAATTCCAGCACACCACTTGCTAGAGAAAACAATCAGGAAATTTCTGATTATTTTGCAAATAAAGCTACTGTCAATTTAATCAAACATTTTTCTCCCATGGAGTTAATCATCTAGATAATTGTCCCTGTGGGCCTTCTGCCTAACAGCGTACTAGTAGAAGGAACAGGAGCAGACCAAAGTGCAGAATTTTCAAACCAAAGTAAAGCAAGTGAAAAAAAATGTATTTTTCTATGATTAAAGCCTATCTTTCTTCTAGCACAAGATAGAAAATATTTATGATGCTGGAATATGTTTACAGATGCTACTATTCTATAGGTGCTACTCACTGCATAGGTATGAAAATCAGCACAGCAACACACTTTGCAGGCTCACTCGGATTCTGATTAAGTCAGTGAGAACCTGGTCATTAATTTCTGGCACAGATACATGTTAAACATGCCTAGTGTTTATTAGTATAACTACTCAAGTCTTGTGCTCCATGCCTAGATATTTAGTCACACACATCGCTAAATTCATTCTTCACTAAAGAAAAATGTTCTTATACATGCTTTTCCCTCCCACATGAGTATTAGCCTTTTAGTGATCTCTTAAGTCATACAAAATTAATTAGGGAAAATACAGTAGCTGACTGGAGCAGTACTGTTTACTAGATGTTACAATGAGTGTGGAGAATAGAATTTTTATTCCCAGGTATTCAAAATACTTAGCTTCCAAAATAACTGTTTAGTTTGAGAGGAGCTAGGACACTAAATACCATTAAGACACTGTTTCTTAGTCTTTGTGCTTCAAAGGAAAGCTAAATTTGCAATAGCTGATATTTGCAGCAGTTCTAAAATGCCCATCCAGTTTTACAAGACAATCCAGTTTTAGTCACAATAAAATACAAGTCCTTACTGATTATTTCAATCAACACAGTATTTACTGGGGTTACAAACAGCTAATAAAGCCAGGAATCTAACTGAAGTGTTGGCAGATATATATTACTAATCTGTGACCTAAATTTAGTGATATAAATTGGGTAGTGATCTTGAATTGACATTTTGGATTGTTAAGTTTCCTAAAGGTGAAATTTGTCTGTGACTTTTTAAGAAAAAATCTGTGTAATAAACATACAACCAGAATAGATTAACTGCTGAGTCGCCATTCTGGTAGTGACAGGATTCAGGGAGCTTGCTTTTCCATGTTTGTGGTGGTTTGACCCTGGCTGGATGCCAGGGGCCCACCAAAGCTGCTCTATCACTCCCCTCTAACCAGACAGAGGAGAGAAAAGTAAATCAAAGGGCTCATGGGTCGAGATAAAGGCAGTTTAATAAAGAAAAAAAGCTAAAGCAAAGGCCGCGTGTGGTAGCAAAAGGAAAGAAAACAAGTTTTTATTCTCTACTTCCCATTAGCAGGCGATGTCCAGCGATTTCCCGAGAAGTAGGGCTTCAGTACGCATAGTTGTTCCTTCCCGAAGACAAAATGTCATAAAAGACGAATGTCCCCCCTCCTTTTCCTTTTTCCTTAGTTTTTACATCTTAGCTGACATCACATGGTATGGAATACCCCTTTGGTTGGTTTGGGTCAGGTGTCTTGGCTACATCCCCTCCCAAGATCTTGCCCCCTTCCAGCCCACTGGCAGGGGGGGGGAATACTAGAGCCACTGCTCAGCAGTAGCCAAAACATGGGTGTGTTATCAACCCCTTTCTACATACCAACAGAAAACACATCCCTATGCTGCTCGACCCAATACAATGTTGCTGGCAGTGACTTAACAATCAGTAATCATTAGAAATAGTTGATGAAAAAATATTGGCAACTTACATAAGTAGTGGAAGTTATGCCCTTTTGTATTATACCACAGTGGATATGAAAGGAACAAACATGTTTCTCTAGCTTATTGTAATTGGACAAGCTAGTTGCAAAAGACCCATGAAACTTGGTGAACAAACAGTTGAGAAGCAAACAGTTGCAACACCATCCAACTAGATATCATGGTAAGCATGATCAGGCTGGTTTCCTTTGTTTGTAAGAGCCCTGGAGACTTCAGTACCTTGTTGGGATAAGACAGTCCAGGTATTTAATAGTGTTGCCAGGAGGCAAATTGCATATTACATGGACTCAACATACAGCAAGGCATAATTGGCATTGACATGAACTCTACAATAAAGAACTTTTAAGTAATTGTATGGTCTAGAAGGATGTATTTAACCTTCCAGGTTGACCTTCCAGGTTTTACCCTTTCATATCAAGTACAGAGCATTACAAGTGAGACATGTTTTTCAGTGTAATGTAAAATCTGTAGGTACAACATTGAGAAATGGAGATGCTGAAAAAACTTGATGTGGTTTAACCAGGCTGGCAACTAAGCACCACCCCGCCGCTCGCTCACTCCTCCCATGATGGGATGGGGGGGAGAATCAGAAGAGTAAAAGTGAGAAAACTTATGGGTTGACATAAAGACAGTTTAACAGGGAAAGCAAAAACCGCGCGTGAAAGCAAAGCAAAGCAACAAATTCATTCACCACTTCCCATGGGCAGGCAGGTGTTCAGCCATCTCCAGAAAAGCAGGGCTCCATCACACGTAACGGTGTCTTGGGAAGACAAACACCATCACGCCCTATGTCCCCCACACCTTTCTTCTTCTTCCCCTAGCTTTCTGTGCATGACATCATATGGTGTGGAATAGCCCTTTGGCCAGTTTGGGTCAGCTGTGCCTCCTCCCAGCTTCTTGTGCAACTGGCAGAGCTGAGAGCTGAGAAGTCCTTGGCCAGCCTTAGCACTACTTAGCAACAACTGAAACATCAGTGTGTTATCAACATTCTTCTAGTGCTAAATCCAAAACAGCACTATACCAGTTACTAGGAAAAAAATTAACTTTGTCTCAGCAGAAACCAGGACACTTGAGTAGTACATAGTTCTTACAGTGTTACCATTTAAAAAATATATATGTCCTCAGCAAGACACATGTAAAGTCTTAAATATCATCAGTTCTGTTTACAAAAACAGAGGATTACTATATTTGTGAATCAGAATACATTTCATCATGTTCCACAATAACAAAAATGGAATTAATAACCATTTTAAAAGGTATGTGTAATTAATTTTCTTAACTTAAAATCAAATCAAAGTGACCCAGAATTGATTTTCAAAAAGCCTGCATTTTGTTACTACTATGGAAAAAATGCATCACAAAATCAACTTGATTTGAAGCTGTGATAAAGTTCCCTGCAGTGCTTCTACATTTATATTCATGAAGATGCCATTAGGAGCTAGAATTTATTCAAAGTGCCAGAATTCCTTTAAGAATGTCTCATGCTAAACATGCGTTAATTAAGAAAGTCTAAGCTTTCCCACAAAAATTCTTCATTGTCATTAATTCAGGAAAGGATTTGCAGGCCTTCCCCAGAGATAGAAAGCGCAATCAAATACTGAAAATAGCTCAATTTAGCTGAAAACAATATTCATGGTGAATTAAATTGAGATATCACAGACAGTCTGAACACAGGTTACTTGACAGGTTACTTGAATTTAAGATTGCCATAGATAACTCTGCTAGAGACCTTTCACTTGATTACATGATTGTAAAGTATTGTTTCCATCTGGAAATACCGTGAGTAGCTAGAGCAGCAGGTCAAATGAAAGCTAAGGACAAGATAGGAAACTTTAAGACCACTACTAGTTCTCCATAATGCCTTGTTCTGCTTTTTCCTCATTAAGGAATATTCCTACCATCTCCAGGTACAGTTACGTGTTTCTTTCACTTTCCCATTGTCCTTTTTTCTGTTACTCCCCCAATTATTACCCTGTAGTAGGTTTACTCTTTAAACTTCACAATGTAGCGTAATCCACATAAACCTCTGGAACAGCCTGAAAAAATCTATCTGCTAAGTCATTAGATTAACTGCCAACAAACTGGAATAAATGATGACTGGAAGTGGAATCTGTTATAAAATTGTTTAACCTAAAGGAGTAGCCATTTCATACCCAAGCATTCATTTTTTTAAATTTTCTAGAAAAAGAAGGGCATCGTGGAAGGACCAGCAACTTGCTCAAGCTGACACTACTTGAGCACAAGAAGGTCTCTGCCAAACTCAGCCATTCCGTAACTCTGTAATACAGGATTCTTATGGTACAGTGGTGGCTCAGCTTATGAATTCAGATGCTACTTCATGAAAATATTTCAGTATACTTTCAGACACATTAGTAAGCATTTTCTAGTCAGTAAGGTTATAACAGAAATGCCAGACTAAATCCCAAACATAGGGCACAAAGAATTTAAGTAATATATGTGAATTTTTTATTTCTTTTTTTTTAGTAGGTCCTCATAACAGGAGTGGAAATAAATATTCTGCTGTGGAATGAAACATACTGGGCTTTTTTGTTTGGGTAGTTTGGCTTTTTTTTTTTTTCATTTTTTCCTTCCAGTGCAATGAATTCTCCCTTTCCATACACAGGACTCCTTCATATCTTATTGAATAAATGGAACATATTAAATTACTCTAAAATCATTTTAGAGTCTAGACATCTCATTTCTATTTTTTTCCCCAGCTCTGTTGCATTTACTATGTGCATTCATGGCTTCTCAACAGGCAGCTTGACCACTGGGATTTTAATATATTTATTAAACATGACATTTCAGGTGCAATAATTCAATGATTTAAGATTACTTTTTTTTTTTTTTTTCTCTCATTTTTGGGTGGTGGTGAGATTTTTAGTATATCCCAAAGCTGTGATCTGTAGAGAGATTGAACCAAAATCACAAGTAAAATAAGAGATGCAACACACATGGGCATAATGAGACCTTACTGTGATCAATTTCTTCTGTTGTTTACCACTGTATTGTCATTGGAGTTAACTCAAAGATGCCAGACTCACTGCAGTGGTACCTGAAGATTTTCTAACATGAAGTCTTAGCCATAGAGAAATAATCAGGTTTATTCTGTAACAGAACCTGCTACTTCCAAGACACTGTTGTTGAAGCAAAACTGAATGTATCATCTTTTTCCCCCAGATCTGACTTTTTTTCCATGACCTTGTACTCTTAAAATCTCTGTAATTATTATTTTGTCTAAGTCTGGTTCAAAACATTCCATTACTTACAGCTCCTGTAAGGAAATACATAGATAATTTGGTAAAGTGTTATCTTTTGCTTTAGCTTCATAACTTTATTTCATGCATGAACTCTTAATATATATCTTGTATTAGTATCTAAACTGTTACCCATTTTGCGAGATTTCTCAGCAGTGTTTGAATCAAATCAGACTTCTTATGAAAAAATCTTCAAAACAAACCTGTGAAATGTCTGTTCTCCACAGAGACCACTATGACCAATTTAAAGACCCTGTACGTTGCACTCATGTTTATGTATATTATATGTTACAACATTTATATAAAAAACAATTACATATCTGCTTATTGATCTTCAGCATTCACCAATAGGAAAAACATAACTCTTCTTAATTCATTAAACATTTTTAAATATTTTCCCATATGAAGTCCTTAGTTGCTAAGTAGAGGAAGAAAAAAACAGTGAACCTCAAGCACACTTTTCTGCTGCTTTTGGAAGTATTTTGCTGGATATGTACTGATTCAGTTTAGGATTAATGCAGAGTATGAAATAAAAAAAAAAAACAAGAAAAGAGACAATAATGAGAAAATAACTGTATGGGACATGAGATCTGGCCCATAAAAGACTGTTTCATGTATGTTTTATTCTAGTGTGGATAAAGCAACGATTAGAGAACTTCCCTGAAAGTGCTTACATACTGTTAATGCAAAGCCCCAGATCTCATTCATCGTGTTCCCAGTGACTGCTGTAACTGCAAGACATTTATAACAACATTTATCTCT